TAGATTCCATTGTGTATATATACCACATTTTCTTGATCCATTCATCTACTGAGGGGCATCTGGGTTGGTTCCATATCTTAGCTATGGTAAATAATGCTGCAATAAACATAGTTGTGCTGGTAGCTTTAGTGTGGTCTTGTTTGTAAACATTTGGATAAATGCCCAAAAGTGGGATTGCTGGTCATAGGGGAGTTCTATGTGAAGTCTTTTGAGGAACCTCCATACTGCTTTCCAAAGTGGTTGAACAAGTTTACATTCCCACCAACAATGAAGTAAGGTTCCTTTCTGTCCACATCCCCTCCAGCATCTGTTGTTGTTAGAGTTCTTGATTTTTGCGTTCTAACTGGAGTGAGGTGATATCTCAATGTTGTTTTGATTTGCAAAAAATGCTGATTATTAAAGAGTGGAAAAACTTACCTCCCCACCTTGCCAGATTATGGACGTAACATTTATTAAAAATGACTTTTCAACCATGACTTTATCAATCAGAACACTTATTATGATTTCCAGTCACTTAGCCTGGCTAAAATTTTTACACATGTGCTTCTCAGATCACGGAGATTGTAAGCCTTCTCATAGCATCATATTATATTATCTGACTTTACTCCTGTCTCTTCTTCTCCTCCTCCTCCCTCTCACCACCCCACACTTCTTACTGGGCTGGAGTTCAGGGCCTGGATATTGCCTATTAGCTTTTTCTGTTCAAGAATGTCACTCTTCCACTTGAAGCACAGCTCCACTTCTGGATTTTTGCTGGTTAATTAGAAAGAAGAGTCTTGTTGGCTTTCCTGACTGGAATAGCTTTGGATCTGGATCCTTAGATCTGAGCCTCCTGAATGTCAAAGATTACAGGAATGAGCTACTCATGCATGGCTTACTGCTTGCTTTTGCTAACTGTATATAGAAGAGTGTCTTTAAGGATGCCCACTGGAAAATTAGGGCATCTGCAAAGGCCATGCATTAAAACTCTTGTCCCATGTTCACAGTAAGTGATCCACATTGATTGCAGAGTGATCTAGTGTGCACCTGTATTACACATATGGTATGTAATGAAAGCTAAAGGCTGACTAAGCAGTACTTGCGCTACCATGTGTGACAGATATAGTTTTAGAGTTTCTACTAGTTTCTATTTTACTTCATTGAGAAATTCTGTTTCTTGCAAGTGGACTTCCCAATCCAGCAATCTGTCGCAGTTTGTGTCTAAAAAAAAAAAAAAAACCAAAACAGAAGAGTCATCAAGTTTTAGGAAGTCTTACGATGTCATTTCAGAGAAGTCTTTGAGATTATCTATAGGCAGCTTCCTCTCTTCCTCTAATATCATGGCTGGAAGAACTTCAAGTCCAAATCGGTTAGGACTTCTTTGAAGGGAAAATCTTCCTTGTGTTTGTGTTCCTATACTGATTCCTGGAAGCGCACTGGGGCTGGCTGAACTACCTGGGCTTTGTGGAGGTTGGGATTGGCAATTCTGCTCGTGGGTGAATTCATGGTGACAAATAACTATATCCACGTTCTCTTCTGATTGGCTACCCAGCTATTTTCTCTGGCTTGTAGTTGAGCATCCTGTAATCTCAGCCACAGAGAAGACTGTAAGACACTGAGTTTATATGGCTGCTGATGACAGGCACACAGCTGCCTTCAGCCCTGAACCTAGAGGAGAGAGTGGGTTAAATAAGAGAATAGGAGGCTACAATGCTTGATAAGAAATGTACTCATTATCTTGCCCATGTAATTGTAACCCCTCTGTACAGTATTTTCACAATAAAAAATAAAATAAAATAAAAAAGAGAATAGGGAACAGCTTTTCATTCACATTTAGACTGTAAAAAAAAACCCTAATGTTCACTTTCTGTAAAGTGACTATAATCCTGACTTTTGCTTTTCACATACATCTATCTTGGTGTATTTGGTGATTATTTTTTCCATTTTTTTACAAACAATGATGACCTTGTACCAAAAATGACATTTGAAATTTTATTGTTTCTGCTATGAAAAGAATGAATATATCTTCTTATCAACTGTTTAATACCAACTTTTGAATTCTAAGTGTGATTCATTATGTGTTAGTTTATGTTGCCATAACAAAATAACATAGGTTGGGTAGTGTTAACTAATCAAAATTCATTTTTTTCAAGAGCCAAGCTGCTGAATGTAAACTGAATTATATCCCAAAGGAACCCTTTCCAAATGCCATCACATTGGAGATTAAGGGTGCAATGTATGAATTTTGAGGGATACAATTCAGATCACAGAACACAGTTAAGGTTTTAATAGGGCTTTAGAACTTTTTTCCAGTTGCATTTATTTTAATTAATTAATTATATTAGTTTAGTATAACAGGATAAAATATGCGTGGGGGGAATAGAAAAAAAGAAGAGAAACATTTTCTGCTTCTCATGCAGGAAATTGGAGTGAGACCTACCATAATTGTATGTATGTATGTATTATTTATTTTAACCGGTAATGGGGCTTGAAGTCAGGATCTGGGCACTTCCCTGAGCTCTTTTTGTTAAAGATAAGCACTTGGCCACTTTGAGCTGCAGTGCTACTTCAAATTTTCTGGTGGCTAATTCGAAATAAGAGTCTCACAGACTTTCCTTCCTGGGATGGCTTTTAACTGTGATCCTTAGACCTCAGCTTTCTGAGTTGCTAGGATTACAGGCATGAGCCACCAGTGCCTGGCATCCTAACTATTTATTAAGGACAGACTCTTCTTTGAACAGATGGATGTTTCTCAGACTATAAAATTCTTATGGCATTTATTAGTACTTACGTTATTTTACTCTCTCTCTCTCTCTGTGTTTGTGTGTGTGTGTGTGTGTGTGTACTGGAGAGCTCATCACTCTTCCTTAGCTTTTTCTCTCAAGACTGACACTTGAGCCATACCTCCACTGCCATAGGCACCTGGAACTTTCCTCTTGCCGTTCTTCCTTCTTTCTCCTTCTCCCCCGCGCTCCCTCCTTGCCCTTCCTCCCTCCTTCTTCTTCCTTCATCTTCTCTTCTTCCTTCTTTTTGATAGTTCTGGGGCTTGAACTCAGGGCCAGGGCACTGTCCCTTAGCTTTTTGTGCTCAAGGCTAGTGCTCTATCACTTGAACCACAGCTTCATTTCTGGTTTCTTTGGTAGTTTATTAGAGATAATAGTCTCATGGAGTTTCTTGCTCAGGCTAGCTTTGAACCACAATCCTCAGATCTCAGCCTTCTGAGTAACTTGTATTCCAGGCATGAGTCCCTGTTGCCTGGCTTCATATTCTTAATAGAATGTGAAAAGATAATTAATGATTTAAGTGTGTCTGAGAACAGAATGTGCCTTTGAAAAAATGTATACAGCAAGAAAGATAAAATCTCTTGTGTCCCTATTTTGGGGTTCATTTCGCTTAGCATCAGCTTATATGGTCATATGTACATAGCTTTTGACCTCTTCTGCTTGTCCTAGACATATACTAGTTATTGCAGATAAGGGAAACCCTGGGACCTATGTTTCTTTGAGCCTGGCGTACATCACTTAATATAATTTTTTTCCAAGTCTTTCCATTTCCTAACAAATGGAGGAATAGAATTCTATTCTTTCTGATGGAGGCATAGATTCCATTGTGTATATATACCACATTTTCTTGATCCATTCATCTACTGAGGGGCATCTGGGTTGGTTCCATATCTTAGCTATGGTGAATAATGCTGCAATAAACATAGTTGTGCTGGTAGCTTTAGTATGACCTTGTTTGTGATCGTTTGGGTAAATGGCTAAAAGTGGGATTGCTGGATCATAGGGGAGTTGTATAACTCCTGTTGTCACTGTATTTGATTCTGGCATCCTGTATCTTATATATACATTTTTCTAATTTGGGGAGGGGAAGGAAAATAACAAAATGCTGAATTAAGGATACGGGATGACCCATTGTAGCAACGAGATGTACAAGACACTATGTTGAAAATGAACTTTGCAACTTTGCAGGGGATGGGGGAGGGAGGAGTTGGGGAGTTGGGGAGGAAAGGGATGGTAGGGGAAAAACAAAGGTGGGGGTAACAATGTTCGATAGGAAATGGATTCATTACCTTGCTCATGCAACTATAACCCTTATGTCCAGTATCTTCACAATAAAAATATATTAAAAGTGTATATAGCTTTCTCTCATTCAGTTAGTGAATTTCTACATGCCCACAATCACTAAAAATACTGATTTTAGTAAACAATAGTTTGTGCTGACAAAATATGCTAAAACAGTTTATCATAATTGGCATTATTATGTCTGTATAGAAGAGGGATGAATTTCCTAACTATGAAGCTACAAGAAGCAGGTGTTTGTCTATAAGAAGCGATAAAGAGCATTCTGAAAATAATTCCTATAACGCCTCATAATTCAAACTAAAAAAGGATCAGGTGACAGGCAAGACTAAAATACAAAGTCACCTTCAAGTCCTTCGTTTCAATACTTTGCGTACATTTTTCTTTATTTTATTTGTTTATGCATGCATTCTTTTTTGGGGTATTCTTTTTTAAAAATGTATTATCTTTAAGTAGTTGTACAAAGGAGTTGCCCTTCAACAGAGCAGTTTATGAACACAGTGCATCTTTGTCAATGTCACCCCTTCCAACATTCTCACACTCCCCTTCCAACCCACCTTTTCCTTTTCCTTTTTTTTTTAAATTTTGTAAGATATGCATTGCATTTTTAACTGCATTTTCTTCCTTTCTTTATTTGTCTGCAGCACAAGAAAAAACCAGGACCCGTGTCCGCTGGACAAATATACTATCACTGGGTTATATCTCCAGTCAAGCTTTTATTTTACACACTCACACAGCAAGCTTCTGGAAGTTGGCTTGTTTCGAGGTTTCAAGGGGCTCCACTATTTTAGGTGTCCCTACATTTCTGCAGTGGGCTTTGATGTAACGAGTTTGTATTGTGAAATACTTTATGAAGTATGAGGTATCTGTATATGGTCTTTGCTTGCATCCCTTTCCCATTTTAATGTATGAGTCACCCCGGTGTTGATTCTGTTTCAGTGTTTGTCGGCAGAAGAGATCTTTTCCCTTCATGGCTTTTCAAACACCACCCTGATCACCAGCTCAAACTTCTCTGCCATCTGCCCAGCAGTCTTGCAGCAGTTGAACTTCCACCCTTGTGATGCTAGGCTCAAGGGAAAAACCAAACCAAGCCTTTCAGAAGGTATGTGTACCAGAAGGGGTTTCTCTGTCTCACTCAAAATGTCTAGGGGCCAGTATGTTATGAAGTTCATACATCTCTTTCTCTGCAGTATGCCTTCAATTAATTAACTGACAAAGACCCTCGTGGTAAAATAGTTATCCTTTCCAAGTATGTAAAGTAAGGGTAGTTGGAATTCACTTAAACTTTATAAATAATACACTTGTACTTGTGGACTCAAAATTTTACGTAGGTTCAAGCTCCAAGGCTTAGTGCCCCAAATCCTAACCTTCTGAGGAGACTGAGATCTGAGGATCATGGTTCAAAAACATCCTGAGCAGAAAAATCTGTGAGATTCCATCTCCAATGAACTAATTAACATAGCCCAAGTGATAGCGCATCATCCACAAGGGAAAAAGTCTAGCATGAACTCCAGTCTCTGAGTTCAAGTCCTGGCACCAGTATCTAAAACAACTGTCCCCCCGCCCCCTGCCAAAGTTATACAGCTTCCGATCCATGCTCCTTGATCTTACGTACTTAAAGAATATGCCACCCAGCTCAATTCATCAATCTGACTGGCAATTGTATAACTAAGAATTTCAATTTTGAAATAATAGCAATTTAGGATAACGACTGATCTTTCAAATAGTTTTGAGTATGTGTTCCTCTGTACAAGTCTGTACAGTCAGTACTTTGCATCTAAAAGGAAATTGGGAAAATGCTTTAATATACTAACATCCACCAGTCATATAGAATCATAAAAGCACAAAGCCCCACCGCCTACGCTCAGTCTAAGCTCTGAAATTTCCCAGTGATAGCAGGCGGATGACTTTAACCTCTTCCTGTCTTAGTTCCCTCATTTAAAATAGTTCTTTGCTCATAGAGTTGCTATAATGATTGAGTAACTTAATATTTATAAAATATACAGAATATTATCCTGCATACAAGTTAGGCTGTATTCAGTCTTGTAGGCCTGTTGAATAAATAATGTCTAACATATGCTCAGTCCCAGAAAACTGGGCTTCAAAAACAAACCAACAACAACAAAAATACCAAACCTACTCTGTACACAGAGGAGTTAATCACTGATAGTCCAACATTTTTTTTAAACTGCTCAGGAACTGTATTTCAGGAACATGGAGGCAAGGATAGGAAGAAGAAAGCTAGAGAAAATTCTGAATTGAACACTACAAAGTCATAAAGTGGAAAAGTCAACAATTCTGAGTTATAAGATCAGGAGGGCACCAAATATGTGGAGAGAGGACATAAATAGAACAGAGTGCTTATTACTCATCTTTTAATTTGGCAATCCATTGTCTTATTGATGTGAACTTATTTTAGTTTAGTATTGATGTGTGATCCTTAGCAACTTATTTAATGTCCCCTTGCCCAGTTATACCATCTGTATAATGGAAACAATATTAGCACATTTCTTTTGGAATAGTGGGAAGTATTATGTGAATTGTTCTCTGTAAGTACTGAAAACAGCACCTGGGAGAGGGTGAGAGGATTATTTCTTCCATCTTCTTACTCATGCATACATGACTATACCCATTCCCTGGCCCTTGACTATTGTTATTTTCACACAAGGAAATGTTTTCAAAAATAATGAGCTGAGTGCCAGTGCTCAATTATACCCACTACTCAGGAGGCTGAGATCTGAAGATCTTGGTTTGAAACCAGTTTGGATAGACAAATCTGTGAGATTCTTATATCCAATCAGCTAGCAAAAGTCTGGAACCAGAGACATGGCTCAAGTAACAGAGCACCAGCAAAGCTGAAAATGAAGGTGCAAGGCTCTGAGTTCAAATCTTGGTTCTGGCATACACATCAAAAAAGAATATGCACTCAATTCTTGATATATCTGAGGATTAATAAAGTCTGAGTTCACCTAAATGAATAAAAAAAATCAACATCAAAGCAATTCAAAGGGTTTGTGGCACCAGCATTTTCTGAACCCATTTATGCTGACAGTTCAACGAACAGATACAATCATCTTGTTTCTCAGAGATCTTTTTAATTCCATAACATTTTTGTTATTATTGACAGCATAATTACATTATTTTCCATTTTGAAGCTGCCTTATATTGGGAATGCAGTAACTGATGACAAATTCTCTAGAAGAGGAATGAATTACATTTTAGCAACAATTTGATGATTTTAAATTTCCTCATTTTCTGGAGTTCATAGAGTACTACAGTAGCAGTTACTTTGCAAAACAGAGAAGAATCACAGACTTTTACTTAAGAATACCTAAAGATTGCTCAACTTTGGTGGCTCAGACCTGTAATCCTGGTTGCTTCGGTGGCTAAGATCTGAAGGATTGAGATTCAGAGACAGTCTAGACAGAAAAGTCTGTGAGACTCAATCTCTAAATAACCAACAAGAAGCTGGACTGGAGGAGTGGTGCCAGCTAAGCAAACAAGCTACACGGGCATGGGGCACTAAGTTCATACCACTATAGGGTCGCAAACGATAATACTTGAAGATCACAGTGTCCAGTGTAGCAAAATTGGTAACAATGCAGCAGAGATGTTAAGGAGGAACTTGAAGATCACAGTGTCCAGTGCAGCAAAATTGTTAACAATGCAGCAGAGATGTTAAGGAGGAACTCCTGACTCAGGACTCTAGCTGCAAGGTTGTTGCTATTGTTGTTGTTTTTGCACTGCATAACTATGAACTAAACAAAATATATATGTTGGTTTGTTTACTAAGTTTTTCAGAAATAATGATAAACAGTATTTATGGAATGTTTACGTATTCTAGAAACATTAATTAAAATTTTATTCCTATAAAATTATCAGATAATAGCTGTTTTATCTGAGTTTTTAATTTAAATTTTAATTAATTAGTTAATTAATTAATTTAAAAAGTCCTGAGCTTTGAATTCAGGTCCCTGCACTTGCTGGACAGGAGTTTAACCACTTAGTCATACTCTAGCCTTTTATTTTTGGTTTTTGGGGTTTTTTTTTTGGGTCCGGTCGTGGGGCCTGAACTCTGGGCCTGGGCACTGTCCCTCAGCTCTTCAGCTCAAGGCTAGTGCTCTACCACTTGAGCCACAG